TATCTCCCCTCCCCTAGACCAGTTCACAACCTCATAAACGGGCGGCTGAATTTTGTAAAGAAATAACTGAAAAGTTGGCTCGCCAAGGGTAACTCGGGGGTTGGGTTGTCTCGGGTACCCAAGACCAAATAAATGGGGGCCTTATCTACACGACACCAAAGCCATGAATAACCCACTTATAATGATATGCTAGTCTCCTTTGCAGCTGAACTCAAGCTACGCGTGGATGATTAACAAAGAGCGTTTGATTTCAAGCAGGAAGTAGTCTAAACATGTCATTATCTTGTCTCGCACAAGTCTCTTCACCTCTCTCATTTCACATTGTCATCGCTTTTCGCATCAAAAGAGAGACCGACTTCTGGTGAAGCATTTGGTTCTAATTTTGACAAAATTACGTTGAAGAAAATAGAAAATGAGCTTGTCAGATTTGTTTGCGTCACTAGATATCTCTCAGACGTCGTCCGAAAGGAGATTAAAAAACCTGAGGAAGAAAACTGAGGTAAACAAACCTAGCACGCTAGACGATGTGGAGATCCTACAACCATCAACTGAAAGCCATTTGAAAAAGATCAAGTACTTTGACAGGGTATGATCGAATCTAATGATTCCTTAGGAATTATAGCATAATTTGTATTTTTAAAAACGCAAGGGGCTGTTTCCGATGGCCCGACTAGTTTCCCGCCCTTTCATTTAGCAAATTTCTGGTGATGCCGTGCAGTACCAGGCTAATTTGAATGCATATGTAGTAAAGAGTGAAAGAACCACAAGTTCAGATATTCGTAGCAATAATAATCCTTCGCTTTGCATGCTATGGAACTCGAACTGCGGACAAATTCCTTTAGAAAATAAGTTATTGGCCCGTGAGACTAAACCTTAAAGGGTCATTCAATCAGAACTTTTAACATAATGTGGCGTTGCTTCTAATAGCTACTCGCCCTTTATTTCAGATAAATGAGACTATCAAAGATAGCTTTAGAAACGATTTGCAAATAAAAGTCGCAGTTCTGGCTGAAGCTGGACCCACAATTGCACCATGTTACACCGCTCTCGGCACTGCCTGGCACGACCTTCTGAAGGAATCAATAAAGGGAGAGGAGATGACAGAGTAGGAGGATCAAGATGTAGCGGCAGCCGAATCGTTATTTGAAATACTGGAGGATAAAATGAATATAAACCCAATAGAAAGTGAATTCCCTTTGAACGGATACATGAAAAGTAAAAGTGGACTGTCCTCGGAAGTATACTACTGGCAAGGAAACGCTGATGCAATCGGCTTGTGGTACAACAAAAAGAGGAAGAGGTTTGAGTACGTCATCGTTGACTGGAAAGTTACGCAAGATCTGCCGAGTTTCTGGGACTCCTCGAAAACATTTATTCATTTGAATCTCGATTACTTGCCATCGGTGTTAATTGTCTCCATCTCCAGCGATAACGGAAAAGATGTTCAGTTCGGTCATTTCTTTGATTATGCACACGAGTGCAAGAAGAGGATAAACGACGTCGCTTGGTATACTTAAAATACCTGAATCTATATCACCTAAGATATATGGGAAAGTATCCCTGTTCAACGGGAACGTGTTTTACGGTGCAGTTTCTGCTAAAAGAAGATGTGCCTCTTAAATATATTTTATACGAAAGCACAACTGTTGGTGATTAATTGGAGGCCCTTGGCTATAAGCAAGCTTGCTAACAATCATTTCTAGAGGCCAATGAAGCTATAAAATCAGAAAACATTTCCCATTGCAAGACATTCCCCGCTTAACCTTATGTTTAGACAATTTGCAGTGCGATTAAATTTAACTTTTTACAGAGGGTTAGAAATTGTTCTGAATTAACCTCTGATTAAAGGCGTTATTCGGTAATAGTTATACAATTTTTTCAAAGAGCAGCTTCAAATGACCGACAGCGTTATTTGCATATCTACCTATTAAACATTAAAAATCTCTGACGCGTTTCAGGCTTGTTTGCTTATTTTTTTATGTTTCATCGTGTTAGATTAATTTCAGAAACGATATTCGTCAACGAAGTCTCCTGCAATTGCATTTCAAATGGAAAAAAACGGGCATAACGTAGCATTTTTTAAATTTTTAACGAAGAAGGTATACTTACTCGTATTATCACATGAATTTGAAATTTCCCTCAATGTTTATCTTGGTTCATTTAATATTCATTCTCAGAGACGCCAAGAACCAATGATATCCAACGATTATCTCTGCTTTTCGTTACACCATAGGTGGTTCTCTAATTAAAGCTTTCGTACCTGCAGCTTGTTTTCCAATGAGTTTTTATTAGGTGAAGCTATTGTTAGAGCTTGGAAATGAAATTTCAATCAGTTCGAAATTTGGGCCACCTTTACTCTTTGTTCGGAAATAACCTGTTTTGTTTGTTTTTTTTTTTCATATGCCTTGTTCCGAAATTTCAAGTTTTCGTGACTCGCACGTGCAAAGCTTATGATCTTTACGTTAAGGAGGACTGCTAAACAACTAAAATTGAAACAATGGCTGAGGATGGAGAAGGAAAATTTAGATTTTCATCAAAGTGTGACTCGATGGTCTATGTATTAGACTGCAGCCACTGGGCGATTTAAAAGAAACGACTTTGCGAGTGCGATGTAACTGAGAATATACTGTTAAATTACCTCGCCTGTTCAACTTGTATTCTTCGCAATTTATAATGTAAAGTAAATAGTTGCAATTACTTTTTAGGCTTTTAATTAGGCTTTCTACAGGTAATGGTAGAAAGCAGTATTTTTATCATAGCAATGGTAGCAAAGGGATGTTTGTCTCGGCTAGCTTAGACTAGCGCGTTAATGATACTCTTTAGAAAACATGATTTGCTTTCCAAATATAGCTCTAGAGAACTTTTTCTTGCAGTTTTCTTTCCTCTTCAAGGTTATTTGTGCACATCATTTGCAATAGACACGGGGAGAATTACGTTGAGATTTTTATTGGGAAAACAAAATATACAAGCTAAAGAGGCCCGTCTGTTACTAGATAAAATGATTATGGATTGAAGTAGCAAAGTTCACGCTATTTTACATATTTCACGTGTAACGTGAACCTAGAAGAGAGATTTAGCACCGTGTTTACGTGAAACGGCAAACGTCGGATTGCTCTTTCACCTTCCACGTTAAATTGCATGAACCTTGCTACTTTAGCTGCACGTGAGCTTGAGTCATGGCGGATTTGAGGGGAGCCTGGTACGAGTTAGAAGGAATAGTTTTGTGCCCTTTTTCCCGCAATCAACTTTTACTCTGTGAGAGGAAAAGTGAAGAAAATCTTACGTACACAGCAAAGGCGAAACAGCTTACTTACACGTAGAGACGGCAAAGCGCACCCGAAAACGTGAAAAAAATGGCGGGAAAATCAGGTCACGTGGTCACTCTTGCCGTTCATGTTTCACATAAACGCGGCGCTAAATCTCTCTATTAATTGTCCTCATCTCCGACAAAAGCAAGTTTAATGCTCAGTTTGGTCTTTTCTATGGCTATCAAGACGAGAGCGAACTCATCGATGACCCAGTTATGATGGAAAATTAGTCTACTATCAGCAGCAGCAGACGCCCAACTCGGCTCAGGCCGCTCTTGATAATTAGCGAAGAGCTTTTGATTTGAGCAGGAAGTAGTCTAAACATGTCATTATCTTGTCTCGCCCTAGTCTCTTCACCTCTCGCATTTTACTTTGTCATCACTTATCGCATCAAGAGAGGGACCAACCTCTAGTGAAGCATTTGGCTTTAATTCTGGCAAAATTACATTGAAGAAAATTGAAAATGACATCGTCCAGCTCTTTGAAAAAAGAGTTACAAAAGCTGAGGAAGCAAATAGAGGACGACAAACCCAAGCCAATCGACATCAAGATCCTAAACCCATCAGACGATAGCGACTGGAAGATGATTAGGCACTTTCCCAGGGTATGGTCGAGTTTAAGGATTCCTATAATTTGTGTTTAAATGCAATAGGTTGTTTCTTATCACCGGACTAGTCTCCCGTCTGAATAGAAAGAGTAGGAATAATAATCCTTCGCGTTGCATGCCATGGAACTCGAACTGCGGACAAATTCCTTTAGAAATTAACTTCTTGGCCCGTAACACTAAACCTGAAGGGTCATTTTAATCACAATTTTTCACATTATGTGGTGTTTCTTCTAATAACTACTCGCCCTTTTGTTTCAGATGAGCAAGAAAGTGAAAGATAGCTTTAAAGACCATATGGAACAGAGGTCCGGATCTCTTCGTGTAGCTGGCCCCGCAGGTCCACCATACGACAACGTTCTCGGCAATAAATGGCACAAACTTCTCAAAGACTCAATAAGGGGAGAGAAGACTACAAAGTATTCCGCTGATGAAAAAAAGGCAGCCGCATCGTTAATAAAAACACTGAAAGATGATATGGGTATAGAACTATTAGAAAGTGATTTCCATTTGTACGGATACATGAATAGTAGAGGTGAACTGTCCCCTGAAGTATATTTCTGGCAAGGAGACGCTACCGCAATCGGCTGTTGGCGCAACAAACAGAAAGAGAGGAATGAGTATGTCGTGGTTGATTGGAAAACTACGCGCGATCTGCAGAATTTCTGGCAATCGAATGACACATTTGGGCCGAATCTACACCATGGCTTGCTGTACGCAAAGCTTCTTCAGGTACATTTGGGTCTCGATTACTTGCCATCAGTGTTAATTGTCCCGATCTCCAGCGATAACGGGAAGGATTATCAGCTTGGTCATTTCGTAGATTATCCAGACGAGTGCAAGACGTCGATAAACGACGACTTCTCCTGGCACAACAAATTCCCCGAATCTCTACCGCATAAGATATATGGGAAAGCATCACTGTTCAACGAAGACGTGTTGAGCAAATTCTCGCCTGACGGTTCATCTACAGTTCCTTTGAAAAGAGATACGCTTCTTAATGAAATATTAAAGGAAAGTGCAACTGTTGGTGACTTATTGGAGGCTCTTGGCTTTAACGAAAGCTCGCTGACAATCATTTCTGGAGACGAATGAAGAGATAAAATTAGAAAACATTTCCCATTGCTGGACATTTTCCATCTAAACTTATCTGGCCAGCTAAA